GCCGGTCTGGAGACAGGTCTGTCTCCTGACCCAGACGACGCAGCCGAGGGGGCTAGTAGTGAGGCGGAGACCCTACTTGATGATGAGGAGGTTGATCGCACTTGGCAGCCTCGTCGTCATCAGGCAATTTTTCTCCGCATCATCAGGAGAAGAGGGTGGCAGCTTGGCAGTGAGCGAAACAGTCGGTGGGTTGCCCAGGAGACAGCAGCAGGGTCGCAGCAGTGTCAGTGGAAGCAGTGTCAGTGGAGCCAAACGGCCACGGAGTAGAGCACCAGCTCCACTGCAGCCTACCACCACGGCCAGTAGTGGTGCCCGTGTGCACGGAGGAAGGAAGCAGCAGTCAGCCAGTGAGGAGTATCGGGGGCAAAGTTTCCTACTCGGCGGCGGTGTGGCAATATTTCGTCAAGCCGCCCGAGGAAGTAAACGTAGCCGTATGTCGACTATGTGGCCAAAAGTCAAGCGTGGCCAGGGGGCCCATGTTGGGACTATTTGGGCCATGTTGGGACAATGGGAGACCTCCCATTGCTGCTGTCTCCATCGCCACACTCTGCCATGTGCCACTTTCAGGTCTCCTCACACACTGCTGGTGTGTTTCAGTTTTTTGACATAGGGTGCTGGCAGATTACGGGCCTCCCATAGCTGCTGCCAGGCCCCTAATCTGCCATGGGCCCCTATATACCGCCTCCTCATGCTGCTGCCAGGTCCACAGTGTCTCATGCCATGTGCCACTTTCAGGTCTCCTCACACTGCTGGTGTGTTGAATTTTTTGACATAGGGTGCTGGCAGATTATGGGCCTCCTATAGCTGCTGCCAGGCCCCTAATCTGCCATAGGCCCCTATATACCGCCTCCTCATGCTGCTGCCAGGTCCAGAGTCTCTCATGGGTCCCTGTACGGCCTCCCATTGCTGCTGTCTCCATCGCCACACTCTGCCATGTGCCACTTTCAGGTCTCCTCACACACTGCTGGTGTGTTCAGTTTTTTGACATAGGGTGCTGGCAGATTACGGGCCTCCCATAGCTGCTGCCAGGCCCCTAATCTGCCATAGGCCCCCTATATATACCGCCTCCTCATGCTGCTGCCAGGTCCAGAGTCCAGAGTCTCATGGGTCCCTGTACGGCCTCCCATTGCTGCTGTCTCCATCGCCACACTCTGCCATGTGCCACTTTCAGGTCTCCTCACACACTGCTGGTGTGTTTCAGTTTTTTGACATAGGGTGCTGGCAGATTACGGGCCCCATAATGCTGCTGCCCCTATAGCCCCCCTATATACCGCCCCTCCTCCTCATGCTGCTGCCAGGTCCAGAGTCTGTCATGGGTCCCTGTACGGCCTCCCATTGCTGCTGTCTCCATCGCCACACTCTGCCATGTGCCACTTTCAGGTCTCCTCACACTGCTGGTGTGTTGAATTTTTTGACATAGGGTGCTGGCAGATTACGGGCCTCCCATAGCTGCTGCCAGGCCCCTAATCTGCCATAGGCCCCTATATACCGCCTCCTCATGCTGCTGCCAGTGCCAGAGTCTCTCATGGGTCCCTGTACGGCCTCCCATTGCTGCTGTCTCCATCGCCACACTCTGCTGCCATGTGCCACTTTCAGGTCTCTCACACACTGCTGGTGTGTTCAAATTTTTTGACATAGGGTGCTGGCAGATTACGGGCCTCCCATAGCTGCTGCCAGGCCCCTAATCTGCCATAGGCCCCTATATACCGCCTCCTCATGCTGCTGCCCAGGTCCAGAGTCTCTCATGGGTCCCTGTACGGCCTCCCATTGCTGCTGTCTCCATCGCCACACTCTGCTGCCATGTGCCACTTTCAGGTCTCCTCACACACTGCTGGTGTGTTCATTTTTTGACATAGGGTGCTGGCAGATTACGGGCCTCCATAGCTGCTGCCAGGCCCCTAATCTGCCATGGGCCCCTATATACCCCTATATACCCCCCTCATGCTGCTGCCAGGTCCAGAGTCTGTCATGGGTCCCTGTACGGCCTCCCATTGCTGCTGTCTCCCATCGCCACACTCTGCCCATGTGCCACTTTCAGGTCTCTTCACACACTGCTGGTGTGTTCAAATTTTTTGACATAGGGTGCTGGCAGATTACGGGCCTCATAGCTGCTGCTGCAGCCCCTAATCTGCCATAGGCCCCTATATACCGCCTCCTCATGCTGCTGCCAGTCCCAGAGTCTCTCATGGGTCCCTGTACGGCCTCCCATTGCTGCTGTCTCCATCGCCACACTCTGCCATGTGCCACTTTCAGGTCTCCTCACACTGCTGGTGTGTTAAATTTTTTGACATAGGGTGCAGGCAGATTACGGGCCTCACATAGCTGCTGCCAGGCCCCTAATCTGCCATGGGCCCCTATATACCGCCTCCTCATGCTGCTGCCAGGTCCAGAGTCTCTCATGGGTCCCTGTACGGCCTCCCATTGCTGCTGTCTCCATCGCCACACTCTGCTGCCATGTGCCACTTTCAGGTCTCTTCACACTGCTGGTGTGTTAAATTTTTTGACATAGGGTGCAGGCAGATTACGGGCCTCACATAGCTGCTGCCAGGCCCCTAATCTGCCATGGGCCCCTATATACCGCCTCCTCATGCTGCTGCCAAGTCCAGAGTCTCTCATGGGTCCCTGTACGGCCTCCCATTGCTGCTGTCTCCATCGCCACACTCTGCTGCCATGTGCCACTTTCAGGTCTCTTCACACTGCTGGTGTGTTTAAATTTTTTGACATAGGGTGCAGGCAGATTACGGGCCTCACATAGCTGCTGCCAGGCCCCTAATCTGCCATGGGCCCCTATATACCGCCTCCTCATGCTGCTGCCAAGTCCAGAGTCTGTCATGGGTCCCTGTACGGCCCCCATTGCTGCTGTCTCCATCGCCACACTCTGCTGCCATGTGCCACTTTCAGGTCTCTTCACACTGCTGGTGTGTTTAATTTTTTGACATAGGGTGCAGGCAGATTACGGGCCTCACATAGCTGCTGCCAGGCCCCTAATCTGCCATGGGCCCCTATATACCGCCTCCTCATGCTGCTGCCAAGTCCAGAGTCTGTCATGGTCCCTGTACGGCCTCCCATTGCTGCTGTCTCCATCGCCACACTCTGCTGCCATGTGCCACTTTCAGGTCTCTTCACACTGCTGGTGTGTTAAAATTTTTTGACATAGGGTGCAGGCAGATTACGGGCCTCACATAGCTGCTGCCAGGCCCCTAATCTCTGCCATGGGCCCCTATATACCCCTCCTCATGCTGCTGCCAAGTCCAGAGTCTGTCATGGTCCCTGTACGGCCTCCCATTGCTGCTGTCTCCATCGCCACACTCTGCTGCCATGTGCCACTTTCAGGTCTCTTCACACACTGCTGGTGTGTTAAATTTTTTTGACATAGGGTGCAGGCAGATTACGGGCCTCACATAGCTGCTGCCAGGCCCCTAATCTGCCATGGGCCCCTATATACCGCCTCCTCATGCTGCTGCTGCTGCTGCCAAGTCCAGAGTCTGTCATGGGTCCCTGTACGGCCTCCCATTGCTGCTGTCTCCATCGCCACACTCTGCTGCCATGTGCCACTCAGGTCTCTTCACACTGCTGGTGTGTTAAATTTTTTGACATAGGGTGCAGGCAGATTACGGGCCTCACATAGCTGCTGCCAGGCCCCTAATCTGCCATGGGCCCCTATATACCCGCCTCCTCATGCTGCTGCCAAGTCCAGAGTCTCTCATGGGTCCCTGTACGGCCTCCCATTGCTGCTGTCTCCATCGCCACACTCTGCTGCCATGTGCCACTTTCAGGTCTCTTCACACTGCTGGTGTTTTAAATTTTTTTTTTTTGACATAGGGTGCAGGCAGATTACGGGCCTCACATAGCTGCTGCCAGGCCCCTAATCTGCCATGGGCCCCTATATACCGCCTCCTCCTCATGCTGCTGCCAAGTCCAGAGTCTGTCATGGGTCCCTGTACGGCCTCCCATTGCTGCTGTCTCCATCGCCACACTCTGCTGCCATGTGCCACTTTCAGGTCTCTTCACACTGCTGGTGTGTTAAATTTTTTGACATAGGGTGCAGGCAGATTACGGGCCTCACATAGCTGCTGCCAGGCCCCTAATCTGCCATGGGCCCCTATATACCGCCTCCTCATGCTGCCAAGTCCAGAGTCTGTCATGGTCCCTGTACGGCCTCCCATTGCTGCTGTCTCCATCGCCACACTCTGCTGCCATGTGCCACTTTCAGGTCTCTTCACACTGCTGGTGTGTTTTAATTTTTTGACATAGGGTGCAGGCAGATTACGGGCCTCACATAGCTGCTGCCAGGCCCCTAATCTGCCATGGGCCCCTATATACCGCCTCCTCATGCTGCTGCCAAGTCCAGAGTCTGTCATGGTCCCTGTACGGCCTCCCATTGCTGCTGTCTCCATCGCCACACTCTGCTGCCATGTGCCACTTTCAGGTCTCTTCACACTGCTGGTGTGTTAAATTTTTTGACATAGGGTGCAGGCAGATTACGGGCCTCACATAGCTGCTGCCAGGCCCCTAATCTGCCATGGGCCCCTATATACCGCCTCCTCATGCTGCTGCCAAGTCCAGAGTCTGTCATGGGTCCCTGTACGGCCTCCCATTGCTGCTGTCTCCATCGCCACACTCTGCCATGTGCCACTTTCAGGTCTCTTCACACTGCTGCTGGTGTGTTAAATTTTTTGACATAGGGTGCAGGCAGATTACGGGCCTCACATAGCTGCTGCCAGGCCCCTAATCTGCCATGGGCCCCTATATACCGCCTCCTCATGCTGCTGCCAAGTCCAGAGTCTGTCATGGGTCCCTGTACGGCCTCCCATTGCTGCTGTCTCCATCGCCACACTCTGCTGCCATGTGCCACTTTCAGGTCTCTTCACACTGCTGGTGTGTTAAATTTTTTGACATAGGGTGCAGGCAGATTACGGGCCTCACATAGCTGCTGCCAGGCCCCTAATCTGCCATGGGCCCCTATATACCGCCTCCTCATGCTGCTGCTGCCAAGTCCAGAGTCTGTCATGGTGGGTCCCTGTACGGCCTCCCATTGCTGCTGTCTCCATCGCCACACTCTGCTGCCATGTGCCACTTTCAGGTCTCTTCACACACTGCTGGTGTGTTAAATTTTTTGACATAGGGTGCAGGCAGATTACGGGCCTCACATAGCTGCTGCCAGGCCCCTAATCTGCCATGGGCCCCTATATACCGCCTCCTCATGCTGCTGCCAAGTCCAGAGTCTGTCATGGGTCCCTGTACGGCCTCCCATTGCTGCTGTCTCCATCGCCACACTCTGCTGCCATGTGCCACTTTCAGGTCTCTTCACACTGCTGGTGTGTTAAATTTTTTTTTTTTTGACATAGGGTGCAGGCAGATTACGGGCCTCACATAGCTGCTGCCAGGCCCCTAATCTGCCATGGGCCCCTATATACCGCCTCCTCATGCTGCTGCCAAGTCCAGAGTCTGTCATGGTCCCTGTACGTACGCCTCCCATTGCTGCTGTCTCCATCGCCACACTCTGCTGCCATGTGCCACTTTCAGGTCTCTTCACACTGCTGGTGTGTTTAAATTTTTTTTTGACATAGGGTGCAGGCAGATTACGGGCCTCACATAGCTGCTGCCAGGCCCCTAATCTGCCATGGGCCCCTATATACCGCCTCCTCATGCTGCTGCCAAGTCCAGAGTCTCTCATGGGTCCCTGTACGGCCTCCCATTGCTGCTGTCTCCATCGCCACACTCTGCCATGTGCCACTTTCAGGTCTCTTCACACTGCTGGTGTGTTAAATTTTTTGACATAGGGTGCAGGCAGATTACGGGCCTCACATAGCTGCTGCCAGGCCCCTAATCTGCCATGGGCCCCTATATACCGCCTCCTCATGCTGCTGCCAAGTCCAGAGTCTGTCATGGGTCCCTGTACGGCCTCCCATTGCTGCTGTCTCCATCGCCACACTCTGCCATGTGCCACTTTCAGGTCTCTTCACACTGCTGGTGTGTTAAATTTTTTGACATAGGGTGCAGGCAGATTACGGGCCTCACATAGCTGCTGCCAGGCCCCTAATCTGCCATGGGCCCCTATATAACCGCCTCCTCATCTCATGCTGCTGCCAAGTCCAGAGTCTGTCATGGGTCCCTGTACGGCCTCCCATTGCTGCTGTCTCCATCGCCACACTCTGCTGCCATGTGCCACTTTCAGGTCTCTTCACACTGCTGGTGTGTTAAATTTTTTTTGACATAGGGTGCAGGCAGATTACGGGCCTCACATAGCTGCTGCCAGGCCCCCTAATCTGCCATGGGCCCTATATATACCGCCTCCTCATGCTGCTGCCAAGTCCAGAGTCTGTCATCAGGTCCCCTGTACGGCCTCCCATTGCTGCTGTCTCCATCGCCACACTCTGCTGCCATGTGCCACTTTCAGGTCAGGTCTCACACTGCTGGTGTGTTAAATTTTTTGACATAGGGTGCAGGCAGATTACGGGCCTCACATAGCTGCTGCCAGGCCCCTAATCTGCCATGGGCCCCTATATACCGCCTCCTCATGCTGCTGCTGCCAGAGTCTGTCTCATGGTCCCTGTACGGCCTCCCATTGCTGCTGTCTCCATCGCCACACACTCTGCTGCCATGTGCCACTTTCAGGTCTCTTCACACTGCTGGTGTGTTAAATTTTTTGACATAGGGTGCAGGCAGATTACGGGCCTCACATAGCTGCTGCCAGGCCCCTAATCTGCCATGGGCCCCTATATACCCCCCCTCCTCATGCTGCTGCCAAGTCCAGAGTCTGTCATGGGTCCCTGTACGGCCTCCCATTGCTGCTGTCTCCATCGCCACACTCTGCCATGTGCCACTTTCAGGTCTCTTCACACTGCTGGTGTGTTAAATTTTTTGACATAGGGTGCAGGCAGATTACGGGGCCTCACATAGCTGCTGCCAGGCCCCTAATCTGCCATGGGCCCCTATATACCGCCTCCTCATGCTGCTGCCAAGTCCAGAGTCTGTCATGGGTCCCTGTACGGCCTCCCATTGCTGCTGTCTCCATCGCCACACTCTGCTGCCATGTGCCACTTTCAGGTCTCTTCACACACTGCTGGTGTGTTTAAAATTTTTGACATAGGGTGCAGGCAGATTACGGGCCTCACATAGCTGCTGCCAGGCCCCTAATCTGCCATGGGCCCCTATATACCGCCTCCTCATGCTGCCAAGTCCAGTCCAGTCTGTCATGGGTCCCTGTACGGCCTCCCATTGCTGCTGTCTCCATCGCCACACTCTGCTGCCATGTGCCACTTTCAGGTCTCTTCACACTGCTGGTGTGTTAAATTTTTTTTGACATAGGGTGCTGGCAGATTACGGGCCTCCCATAGCTGCTGCCAGGCCCCTAATCTGCCATGGGCCCCTATATACCGCCTCCTCATGCTGCTGCCCAAGTCCAGAGTCTGTCATGGGTCCCTGTACGGCCTCCCATTGCTGCTGTCTCCATCGCCACACTCTGCTGCCATGTGCCACTTTCAGGTCTCCTCACACACTGCTGGTGTGTTGAATTTTTTTTTTGACATAGGGTGCTGGCAGATTACGGGCCTCCTATAGCGCTGCCAGCCAGGCCCCTAATCTGCCATGGGCCCCTATATACCGCCTCCTCATGCTGCTGCCAAGTTCAGAGTCTGTCATGGGTCCCTGTACGGCCTCCCATTGCTGCTGTCTCCATCGCCACACTCTGCTGCCATGTGCCACTTTCAGGTCTCCTCACACTGCTGGTGTGTTGAATTTTTTGACATAGGGTGCTGGCAGATTACGGGCCTCCTATAGCTGCTGCCAGGCCCCTAATCTGCCATAAGCCCCCTATATACCGCCTCCTCATGCTGCTGCCAAGTCCAGAGTCTGTCATGGGTCCCTGTACGGCCTCCCATTGCTGCTGTCTCCATCGCCACACTCTGCCATGTGCCACTTTCAGGTCTCCTCACACACTGCTGGTGTGTTGAATTTTTTGACATAGGGTGCTGGCAGATTACGGGCCTCCTATAGCTGCTGCCAGGCCCCTAATCTGCCGTAGGCCCCCTATACCCGCCTCCTCATGCTGCTGCCAGGTCCAGAGTCTCTCATGGGTCCCTGTACGGCCTCCCATTGCTGCTGTCTCCATCGCCACACTCTGCCATGTGCCACTTTCAGGTCTCCTCACACTGCTGGTGTGTTCCATTTTTTGTCATAGGGTGCTGGCAGATTATGGGCCTCCCATAACTGCTGCCAGGCCCCTAATCTGCCATGGGCCCCTATACCGACTCCTCATGCTGTGACGTTGCAACAACAAGGGAATTCAACCCTACATATGTTAGACCGCCTTTACGAACAGCAAAAGGCCATCACAGATTTCCTGATGTTAAAAGCAGATAAAGGTACTCCCTGTGTAACTTAGATGTCAGCCATTGGCAGCTCATGCGTGACACCTGCGCTTGCTCAGGCCCTTTGAGGAGGCCACGCTATTCGTGAGTCGGCAGGACTATGGGATGAACGACGTCATTCCTCTGTTGCACGCACGTCCGGAACAAATGCTGTTAACAATGGCTGGTCAGGGTGCGGTAGACGTGGCGCACAGATCTCAACGCCACATGGCCCCTGTGGGGGCAGGACTGGAAGAAGAGGAGGAGGTAGAGGAGGACATTGGTGCTCAGGAATTATTGAGTGAAATGGGTGGTTTTTCCACTCAGCGGACAGGAGTGGAGGAGCAGGAGCATCTGGTAGAGGAGGAGGAAGAGGAGACAGAGGACCTAGACGCACCGTGGCAGTATGCTGTGGAGATGGAGGCAGGGAGTCCCTCGCATTCCTTGGCACAAATGGCCCATAGCATGCTCGGTTGCTTGCGTAGCGACAGCCGAATAATAACCATCAGACAGAGGGATGACTTTTGGCTGTCCACCTTGTTGGACCCTCGCTACCGTTCAAAAATGGTGGCCTTTTTCACACCTGCTGAGAGGGAGGCCAAAATAACGTACTATAAAAAACACCTATGTAGTCAGCTGGTCTCTGCCTGTCTGCGCCAACGTCCATCCTCAGACACTGTGGGCCCTGTGCGCTCGTGTTCCGCTGCCATGGCAGCAGGGGAGGGGTGGGGTGGTAGGAGCAGTGGCAGCTCCACCAGCAGCGGCTGCCTCAGTCTGCAGTCGATGATGAGTAGCTTTCTTCACCAGCGCAGTGAGGAAACTACTAACCAGCCGCAGCAGCAGCAGCAGCATCAGGTGGACCTGGAGCAGGACCTCAAACAACAGGCTTAGGCCTACTTGGACAGCACCCTGCCAACCGAGGTAGACAATCCCCTTGACTACTGGGCAACGAAACTTGACCTTTGGCCCCAACTAGCTGAATTTGCCCTTGAAAGGCTGTCATGCCCGGCCAGTAGCGTGGCATCGGAGCGCGTGTTTAGTGCGGCAGGAGGTATTGCAACTCCGCGGAGGACACGACTGTCCACCCAAAGTGTGGAGAGACTCACGTTTGTGAAAATGAATCAGGCGTGGATTAGTCTGGATTTCAAACCACCAGTTCCTGACACAACTGACTAAATCCGCCATGAATCATGCCCCAAACATGTGCCACTTTCAGGTCTCCTCACACTGCTGGTGTGTTCCATTTTTTGTCATAGGGTGCTGGCAGATTACGGGCCTCCCATAGCTGCTGCCCAGGCCCCTAATCTGCCATGGGCCCCTATACCGCCTCCTCATGCTGCTGCCAAGTCCAGAGTCTCTCATGGGTCCCTGTACGGCCTCCCATTGCTGCTGCCTCCATCGCCACACTCTCTGCCATGTGCCACTTTCAGGTCTCCTCACACTGCTGGTGTGTTCCATTTTTTGTCATAGGGTGCTGGCAGATTACGGGCCTCCCATAGCTGCTGCCAGGCCCCTAATCTGCCATGGGCCCCTATACCCGCCTCCTCATGCTGCTGCCAGGTCCAGAGTCTCTCATGGGTCCCTGTACGGCCTCCCATTGCTGCTGTCTCCATCGCCACACTCTGCTGCCATGTGCCACTTTCAGGTCTCCTCACACTGCTGGTGGGTTCCATTTTTTGTCATAGGGTGCTGGCAGATTACGGGCCTCCCATAGCTGCTGCCAGGCCCGTAATCTGCCATGGGCCCCCGTACCGACTCCTCATGCTGCTGCCAGGCCCGTAATCTGTCATGGGCCACTGTTGTCGCTTGTTGGCATATTCCGCTCGTTCAGATGCTCCTTCTCCTGCTACTCCTCTTCACGGATTCCGTCAGCAGTCTTTCTTGGAATCCGTTTCCAAGAGACAACAGTTTGCGAGCACGCACCCGACGGTGCAGAAGCTGAACGTCCTCCTGTCCAAGTTGCTGCTGCCAGGCTCGTAATCTGTCATGCGCCCCTGTACCGCCTCCTCATGCTGCTGCCAGGTCCAGAGTGTGTCATGGGCCCCCGTACCGACTCCTCATGCTGCTGCCAGGCCCGTAATCTGTCATGGGCCCCTGTACCGCCTCCCCATGCTGCCATGCTGCTGCCAGGTCCAGAGTGTGTCATGGGTCCCTGTACGGCCTCCCATTGCTGCTGCCAGGCCCGTAATCTGCCATGGGCCCCTGTACCGACTCCTCATGCTGCTGCCAGGCCCGTAATCTGTCATGGGCCCCTGTACCGCCTCCTCATGCTGCTGCCAGGTCCAGAGTGTGTCATGGGTCCCTGTACGGCCTCCCATTGCTGCTGTCTCTATCGCCACACTCTGCCATGTGCCACTTTCAGGTCTCCTCACACTGCTGGTGGTTTCCATTTTTGTCATAGGGTGCTGTATGGCCTCCCATTGCTGCTGCCTCCACCGCCACACTGTGGCTCCACACTCTGGTTTTGGCCCCGTGACTGCCCAAATGAGTGAAGTGTGCGGTGATTCTAAGATCGACGGCACTCATCTGCATGTCATACTGACTGACAGTATTATTTCTCTTCCCCAGCAGACTCCAAGGGCATTTAAATTAAAGTACAGTGTTCTGCACTAATATTAAGTCTCTCTGAAGCCTAGAAACACCCTTTTTTAAGTTAAATTCACAGCGAATTTATTCGACTCGAATCGAATATTGTCCACGAATTCGCCGAATCAGTCGAATCGAATTTTTCATTTCTAACACCAATCGCTGTAACGGGACCTCTGTGTGAGGTCCCAATTCATGTAATCACTGATTGGCCAATCAGTGATCACATGAGCAGCAGTAAACAAGATGTCACATCTGACATCATTGCTTACTACTTGTGAAATTTGTGAATGATCACAGAGGTCACGTGGTACAATGCTATTTAAAACAGCTTTGCACCATGTGACAAGCTGTGACCAATCACAGCTCACACAGTATTTCTCAATGGCTGCAAGAATGCAGCCAGAGAGAAGGAGCAATGACTGCTTTTACAATCATTGTAAAAATAAAAAATAAAAAAATCTTCATCAACCCCCCACAAGTAGTACAGTGTCACTATGGTGACACTGTACTGCTACGGTGACAGTATGTTAAAAAAAAAAAACAATAATATAAAAAAAAATAAAAATGTAAAAAACTTTTTTGCAAAATCATAATTTTTGGTTATAAACTAATTTAGGTTATTCTTTTTTTACATAAAATACAGCTGAATACATTTTTGGCCAAGATTTTATGAAGAAAGATTATTTATTTGCAAAATTTAAAAAATTCACCAAAATAAACTTTTATCCGTCTCAAAAAAGGCTAAAAAGTTCATATGGGTACAGTGTTGCATGACTGCGCAATTGTCATTCAATGTGTGATAGCATTGAAAGCTGAAAATTGGCCTGGGCAGGAATTGGGTGAAAGTGTCCAGACTTGAAGTGGTTTTTCAAGGAGATACATGTGTGGCAAAAAAGTTAATATACTGTTAGTGCTCTGCCAGGTCCAGCATTGGAACAACATTTATCATAGATCAGTTTATGATAACGAAAAAATGATAGCATGCGAGTTTTCAGTCTGTCTTTCATTCCACTAAGTTTGAAATTGCGGTTTTGCCCTAGTAACAATATTGATACATTTTCAGTTATCAAACACATACACCTTTTTGCAAGGAAACGTTCCCTCAAAGCTTTGCATTCTAAGCTGAACAAGGCACCATTTGGGTGTTTGGTCACAGATTGGTCAAAACCAACACATAGAGACTACAGATGTGTAAGGGACCTCGTGCACCTTTGGGAAGAGGGGAATTCAGAGGACTTACAGGAAATTTCAGACATGATTTTATATATATCTATATACTACCAAGGCTTTGAAAGCTTCATAAGTCAAGCAAGTTTCCTTCTTTGATATATAACCTGAATGTTTACATGTTTATAGAGGAGGTTGATAGGTTTACAGTCTCTGATAAAAGATACTGGGAATTGAGGACACAACACCGAGAGGCAATAAACCCCAATCAAGCATGTAGAGCCACTCCAGGCCACTGATTCAGCCACTGAATCAGTCAGCCTGTAATTTAGTCCCTGTCAGGTGCAGCCCTTTTCACCCACCTTGGACTTAAAATGTTACTATACCCACAACAGTACAATCAGTCTGTATATGCAGTAAAGCATGCTTGTTATACTTACTGTGGAACCTAAGGGGTTATTCCTCTGCATTGGGTAAAAGGCTTTGATCCTGACTTCTCTGTTTCTCCCTTTCTTCCAGTGCCCCCCTCTTATCTTCTGATAAGACAAATCAGATGGAGACACTGCACATGCTCAGATTGATGTGTATTGCTAGCGAGGTTTAATTGTTTTTTTTTGACTTGGGAGAGTGCATGTGATCAGCACAGGGCCAATCAGCACTATCCAGACAGAGTGTCAGGGGTTCTACATCCTTGTAGAGAAACATCCTACAAGCAAGCTTTAACCAGTGCTCTGCTGAACACTGATAGAAGTCACAAGACTGCTGTAACTGCTGATGAGAAAAGGTATTTAGCAGTTTATATTTACTAAAATAATTGCATTTCCATGTTCTGTGTACTGTGGGAGATCAGATATAGTGAATGCAGGGTCCTGGGTTTAGTATCACTTTAACTGTAGATCTCTACTATTAAGCACATGATGGGGGAAGCACGTTAGAGGGCTTCGTTCGGGATGGGATGGAGCTGAAACCTTCCTGTTATAAATTAAACTGACCAGCTTTCAGTGTGCACTTCAATCCCTCCTTTGTAAGTTTCTACCAAGTGGCAAAAAATACATGTAGGCAGCAGAAGAACCTAATAGTGAAACCCTCCAGCAAAGGGGGAAACATGATAAATTAATGGAGTATGCAGCGCTATAAAATGATATGACAAATGAAATGATACAAGGATCAACTACACATCACTGAATCAGCATATAGTAATCCTTATAGTGAGACTCATATAATCAGCCAATCAAGCATAGACAATACTTATAGTGATATAAATAATATATATAAGAGAAGATAAATGCATAAAGTGATGACAGTATCAAATGGTGCTTGGTGTACTCCAAATCCAGTTTGACTTTTCGAAGAATCTAGTGCAATTATGCACTTACCACAAAAACATACAAACTGAGCATTGTATGTATATCATAATGTATAGCATCATCAGCGGACATCAGGGCCTATTCAGCAGTTTAGGCAGCATCCGGTCACCATGGTAGACACTCGAGGATGACGAAACACACTCGGGGGTCACCTCAGGCTCACCGGCAGGTCCAACGAGGTCCAGACTCTTAATGGCACTCTTCCCAAAAAGCTCCACCTTGCGAGGCTCGTAAATAACGAGCCGGGGGGCAAAATGGTACTGATAGTGAAGTACATCTTTATTACATTAAAATCCAAAATGAACAATTATGAAACTCACATTTGAGCTCAAAATGGCCTCCAGGCCTTATTCCTAGGCTCCCTGGTGGCTAATGGCGTCAATTGTGGTGGACCCCCTAACATGTTTCGAGCAACGAGCGTGTTGCTCGAAACATGTTAGGGGATCCACCTAATTGACGCCATGAGCCACACATGCGTGGTGAGAATGGGAGGACGTCATATGACGTCCTCCTAGAACGAGTGAACCACCTTGCACCCATCATTGGACTATATGGCGGGCGGGAGGTGGTTAAATTACAACCGTTTGAAAATGGCAACCGCTAGTGAAGTGAGCAAGTTGGAGCAGTTTGTTTTTTTAACCGCTCTTCTCTGCCCTTGCTGTAGAGTGAGTTGCCATAGGAACCCAGGTGTGTGAGCAGGCAGCAGAGTGACAAAAGCTAGAGTGTGTGAGCTATCAAGCTTGCCATGTGCTCTTTTTAAATTTGATCAATCAATTGGTTAGTGTAATGTTTACTATCTTTACTCACTCCAAACACTCCACATAGTTACTCTGCCCACTCCATAAAGTTACTCTGCCCAGTCCAACCTTTTCACAGTTACTCCAGCCACTCCAACCACACAACAGTTACTCAAGCCATTCCACCCAGTTACTCCACCCACTCCAGTTGTAGACTACTGGTGGAGGCAAGAACACAATTAACCCAGAAATTGTAGCTTTTCTAGTTTTAGATGCATTTCTATGGACAGGCGGATGTAAACAGACTTCTGTCTCTGAGTTGTTGGGTTGGAAAACCCCAGAAGGAGGAAGTGTGAGGATAGAGAGAAAGTCTGAGACAGGTGTCTGTCTGTATGTATGTATGTATATATATCTATATTGTCAAAAGGATTGGGACACACCTCCATATCATTGGATTCAGGTGTTCCAATCACCTCCATGGCCACAGGTGTATAAAATCAAGCATCTAGGCATGCAGACTGCTTCTACAAACATTTGTGAAAGACTGGGTCACTCTCAGCTCAGTGAATTCAAGTGTGGTACCATGATAGGTTGCATCTGCCATTCATGAAATTTCCTTGCTACTAAATATTCCATGGTCAACTGTTAGTATATTATAACAAAGTGGAAGAAACTGGGAACAACAGCAACTCAGCCATGAAGTGGTAGGCCAAGTAAAATGACAGCGCGGGGTCAGCACATGCTGAAGCGCACAGTGAGCAGATGCTGCCAACTCTCTGCAGAGGCAACAGTTAAAGACCTCTGAACTTTGTGTGGCCTTCAGCTTAGCACAACAGTGCATAGAGAGCTTAATGGAATGAGTTTCCATGGCCGAGCAGCTGCATCCAAGCCTTACATCACCAAGTGCAATGCAAAGCGTAGGATGCAGTGGTGTAAAGAACACCACCATTGGACTCTAGAACAGTGGAGATGTGTTCTCTGGAGTGATGAATCACACTTCTCTTTCTTGCAATCCAATTGGAGTGTCTGGGTTTGGTGGTTGCCAGGAGAATGGTACTTGCCTAATTTCATTGTGCCCAGTGTAAAGTTTGGTGGAGGGGGGATTATGGTGTGGGGTTGTTTTTCAGGGGTTGGACTTGGCCCATTAGTTCCAGTGAAGGAAACTCTTAAGGCTTCAGCACACTGAGACATTTTAGACAATTTCATGCTCCCAGCTTTGTGAGAACAGTTTGGGGGATGTCTCCTTCCTGTTCCAACATGACTGAGCACCAGTGCACAAAGCAAGGTCCATAAAGACATAGATGAGCGAGTTTGCTATGGAGGAACTTGACTGGCCTGCACAGAATCCTGACCTCAACTCGATAGAACACCTTTGGGATGAATTAGAGTGGAAACTCCAAGCCAGGTCTTTTTGTTCTACATTCACGCCTGACCTAACAAATGCGCTTCTAGAAGAATGGTCAAACGTTCCCATAGACACACTCCTAAACCTTGTGGACAGCCTTCCCAGAAGAGTTGAAGCTGTTATAGCTACAAAGAGTTGGCCAACTCAATATTGAACCCTATGGACTAAGACTGGGATGCCATTAAAGTTCATGTGTGTGTAAAGGCAGGCGTCCCAATACTGTTGACAATATAGTGTATATATATACAGGCTGGTGACAGAAGTATATATATGTCCCCTTGTTGCTGCATGCTCTATACCTACTAACTCTGTGATACGGTGTGTGTAGTGGTCTCCTTGCTGTATGTTAGTAG